CCGAGCCAACCTTCGGTCGTCTTGTCATCGAAGACAGGCAGGGAAGAGAGCGGAGATGCTGCGCAAGTCTACTGTCAGCATAAGGTAACTCACAAGCGGGTAGCAGCCCTGCGCCCATTACGCTGTGTAGGGAACGGTGAGTGACCGAAATGACTGATTTGGCCAGTTCCGTTGTGTTTTTTGTTTTGTCACTGGTACAGAAGAGATCGCACATGTCCCCACGGTAGCAATAAAAAAATCCTATTATTTTCAACGGAAAGTAGAGACGACTCCAATTTTATTTAAATGCTTATTCAGCCTTGAGTGCTTTAGGCCAGACGCTCGAACAAAAGAAGCCTACCTATATAAGTACAACGAGAAATATGACAAACCTCAGTGGTAACATAATGAGGACATTATCAGATATCTGCTATCTATTATTGCTCTCTGACTATGTCTCTGATGACGAATCCGCGACGGATATAGAAACATTAGGCGAATAAAAGTATTGTCCCAGCGATCGAGTCGTCTTCTTCTCAATGAGGACATTCTTGTCCAATAATGCAGGTGTCGTCTAATACAAACTGTGGCAGTCGAGCTCTATCATTTTGTATTTTTGAATTTTGGCCCATATTTGTATGTGCATGCAACTTTAACCAGCACTGTTTCCGAGATGTAAGGGGGTAGAACGTTGAAGAACTACACCATACAGACTGACCACCAAATCCACAATAGAACGATCTCCGGTAAGGGCTAGTTACGAAATATGCAAGCTGTATGGTCTGAAAGATAAGTGGTCAAGGGCCGTGCAGGCATCGCAGACACCGAGCTGATTTTTGTTCACTTATAAAAGGGGCATCAGTCGAGGTAGCGTTACGCAGGATATTGTGTTGGGCATCGCATCATGTGCTGGAGATGAACGGAAAAACCGCCTTAGAATCCGCGAAGTCCAGGGGTCTATCAGTTCAACAGATCACTCCAGGCAACCAATCTGCTGCAAGCCACAGCTTAACGTGGTTTCCGGACGGCCACATTACTACCGCCTGCGTGCTCTGGTTGAAGACCAACCTCCCTTTAAGGAGCAACATTGTGCCGGAAAAGAAAGATCAAGGGGAAGATGCAGATAAGTGCAAGAAGACAAGACAAAGACCGTGGTTCAGTGGTTAGAGCGTTGGACTTCTAGGGAACGGGCAGTGGGCTCGAACCCCGGGGTGGTGCACCACCTGGGATTGGGTATAACTGAATGTTGATGGCCACTCTTGTCTTCCTTATCTCTGTCAGTAATGCTCTTCTGTCCAAAATACTAGCTAATGTGCGGATGCTGCCAGACTCAAAGTTGAACTCCAAATAGAGGGAGATGAGCGAGTCTCGTAACCGATCGTTGAGCGCCCAACAGGCAGGCAGTCTCCCTACGGTCGCTACCAATCTTCAGTAAAGTGTCTGCAACCGAGATACTATTGATAAAAACAAGGGACACCGTAATGACAATTTTGCCCCTGTCTGCCTATGTCAGACACTCCCCTGCCAAGTTCGGAAGGAAGTTTTCCGTCTAGGCCTCTAGGTAGACAATGATTCTGCGCAATTAACAAGACTGAAGGAAAAGGTGAATGACATGCATATATACGGGCGTGCGACGCTCTTCTTCTGCTGGAGTACCGCTATACCATACTAGCGTGCCAGCCAAAGAATCACCAATAATTGCAGCGTATTATGTTGTGGCAGTAGCGTGAAAGTACGAATAATACATATGACGCCAAAGTGCCTTATCCTAGGGCATGTCGACCAAATAAGCACCGAAACTTACGGCATATTTCTGGTGTGAATTAATGATATAGATGTTGGTTGGTCTATTGCATATAACTTCTAGAATGAGGCAATGCATTGGACAGTTTCATGCATAAAACTGAAGAAAACCACACCCCTAAAAGTAAAGCTAACTGTGTTCAAAACCTGATAAACTGAAAGTCACAGACGTAGACGATTACTGAGGATCTAGTTGGTGATTACAGGGCATGAACTGTACTGCTACATAATGTCGTGGACTCGTAAAACGACTGAACCAGTGCGGCTGACAGCTGATACGAGTAGACGTAGAAGATACAGTCAAGTTCCAGAGAGTATATGGTAGGCAAAACTACCAATAGCGTTTGTCCAGGTGTCCGTAGTACCCACTTGGGACAAGTCACGCAAAGACGGCACTGGTATAGACGTTGTTTCAAATGCCAGCGACAAAACTAAGATACCATAACCCACGTAAATAAAAACCCCACCAAGTGAAATATACTTGAATGACAATGAAATCAAAATCCACTTCCGATATATTAGCAAGGGCAGGGTGGTGGATACAAAGACGGGCTGATACTAGTCGGAACTATACATCTTCTGGAAGCGCTTAACGTCCTCGGGTTCAATTCGCTTGAACAGCGGCGCGGGCTGAAAAAAAATTGGAAAAGAAAGGAAACTTGTTAAAGTCAGAAGTGCTAGCAAGACGGCTCAGCGATAGGCTTCATTGAAGATCATAATAAAAACAGCTAAATTAAGTGGCCGACACACGACTAGAGAACAAGGTGGCGTCCGGGAAAGGGCGAAAGCAGAACCAATTGCCCCCTACTGGGCAGAACACTGCTGAAAACGCGGTCAGGAAAAGGGGTGGAACTGCATCCACATAACTCACCTCTCCGATTACATGACCCTGTGGGAGGAAACATATGGTGTGACCGCCATTGCGCACGATAGAGATGAGGCTTCTCAGTGTCGGTGGGACATTGCACTGCTTGAAAATCTCATCAGAGTAAGACGGCATGAAGGGACGTAAAAGGACACCGAGAAGCGCAGCAATATTGCAGGCAACACCGGTGACAACGCCGGCGCGTTCACTAAAAGACAAACCAAAGGGCTATAAGCAGACAGGGAAAGAAAACCGGAACTTGAGGGCTGTCGGACTAACTAAAAATAACAAAAAATTGGCTACAATAAGTAAGTCATCAGTTGTCATTCTGATCCCTTTGTTTCTTCAGTACAATACAGTACTTGTACTTGTTACGGCTGTGATCATGCCTGATCTAGCCGGCCTCAA